CAGTACTGCTTTCTTGCAGGGCAGCCTGCACGAGAAGATCTTGCTGCGTTGCCTACCTGGTTTTGCCGGGTCTTTTCCTCCTTGCACCCAGTGGAGTCTCTGGCGGCCAGTCTACGGTCTCCGCCCGGCACCGCGTGAGTGGCACGACACACTGAGAACTACGCTTGCGGCTCTTGGGTTTGCTCCCTCTACTGCCGACCCGTCACTGTATCTACGCACCAACACTTCTCTGCCGCCGTTCTACATCCTCGTGTACGTCGACGACTTGGTCTTTGCCATAGCTGACACTGCTGGAGTCGCCTACGTGAAGTCCAAGCTGCAGAAGAGACACACGTGCACAGACCTGGGTGAACTGCGCAGCTACCTTAGCTTGCAGATCACCCGGGACAGAGCACGCCGCACCATCACCCTGACTCAGTCACACATGGTGCAGCAGGTCCTTCAGCGCTTCGGCTTCACGTACTCCTCGCCTGAGACCACTCCTCTGCCTACTCGCCACTCGCTCTCAGCTCAGCCTTTGGATGAGTCCGTAGAGTCGAGTGGCCCGTACCCAGAGCTTGTTGGCTGCCTCATGTACCTGATGACCTGCACACGACCTGACCTTGCATACCCTCTTAGCATTCTCGCACTCTATGTTGCTCCTAGGAGACACCGACCAGAGCACATGGCTGCAGCGAAGAGGGTGTTGCGCTACTTGTGCATTACGTCGGGCATGGGGCTAGTGCTTGGAGGGCGGAGTCCAGTGGTCCTCACTAGCCACGCAGACGCTTCTTGGGGTGACGACCAGGCTACGCAGCGGTCGTCACAGGGTTACACCTTCAGCCTTGGTTCCGGCTCTGTTTCCTGGCGGGCTACTCGCTCGTCTTCTGTTCTCGGCTCCAGTTGTGAGGCTGAGATCTACGCAGGGGCCATGGCTGCTTAAGAGCTTCGCTAGCTGACCTACCTGGTGACCGACCTTGGAGAGCCGCCTCGTTCTCCTCTAGTCCTGTACGTAGACAACAAGGCCATGCTGGCCTTGTGTTGAGAGCAGAATCTGGAGCACAAAACAAAGCGCATTGCTCTCCGCTACTTCCTTGCTTGTGAGCTACAGGAGCGTGGTCAGTTGCGGCTTGTGTACGTAGCCTCTGAGGCCAACACTGCTGATGTCTTCACCAAGGCACTTGCACCTTGTGATCATCAGCGCTTCTGCACCAAGGTTGGTCTTGTACTTGTCTTGCCTCACTTGCTCACCTCTTGACCTTGCTTGTACTGTTACATAAATATATATATATATACCTGCTCTTGCTTGTCTTGCCTTATATATATATATATATATATATATGTTCTCATGCATGTGAACTGGCCTTGTGGCCTTGAACTTGTGCTCGTAATGTGTGGTGACTTTGTGATCCACCTTGAGCTTGCTTTGCTTTGCTTTACTTGACTGGTCTTTTGACCCCTAGTTCTCCCCCACTTTGCCTATGGGGGTGTGTCAAACATTATATATGTTGTGCTTGTTTAGGCTACAGTGGGTTAGCCTATAAGGGGTACACAATTCTACGGTTAGGTACTTGTACTGAATTCACTGTTAGTTAAATCATTCTGGTTCATTCATTTCAACAGGCAGAGTCCAGTGGTCCTCACTACGCACACAGACGCTTCTTGGGCTGACGACTAGGCTACGCAGCCGTCGTCACAGGGTTACACCCTTAGCCTTGGTTCCGGCTCTGTTTCGTGGCAGGCTACCCGCTCGTCTTCTGTTCTCGGCTCCAGTTGTGAGGCTCAGATCTTCGCGGGGGGTATGGCTGCACAGGAGCTTCGCTGGCTCACCTACCTGCTGACTGACCTCGGAGAGCCGCCTCGTTCTCCTCCAGTGCTGTACGTACACAACAAGGCCATGCTGGCCTTGTGTCGAGAGCAGAGACTAGAGCACGGATTGAAGCACATTGCTCTCCGCTACTTCCTTGCTCCTGAGCTACAGCAGCGTGGTCAGTTGCGGCTTGCGTACGTGGCCTCTGAGGCCAACACTGCTGATATTTTCACCAAGGCACTTGCGCCTTGTGATCATCAGCGCTTCTGTAATCAGCTGGGTCTTGTGCCTACCTTGCCTCACTTGCTCACCCCTTGACCTTGTTTCTACTGTTACATATATGTATATACACCTGCTCTTGCTTGTTTAGCCTTATATATGTATGTAATCCTACATGTGAACTGGCGTTGTGGCCTTGAACTTGTGCTCAGAATGTGTGGTGACTTTGTGATCCACCCTGAGCTTACTTTGCTTTGCTTGACGGGTCTTGTGACCCCTTGTTCTCCCCCACTTTGCCTGTGGGGGTGTGTTAGATTTTTATGACATTGCTACTGTAGGCTATAGTGGGGTAGCACATATGGGGTACAGCTTTCTAGGGTTTGTACTTGTACCCAACTTTCCCTTAGTCATTTTCATTCTCGTTGATTTTCTCAATTCCATCCCTTTTTCGCATGGTTTCATTTCCACTGTTGTCAACTGCGCCATTAATCGACTCTGGTTGACGCTGTCTGCTGCTTGATACAGGCTCTTCAAGTTACTGTATGCGAGCTCGGCGGAGTTGCCGTATCCGCGGTAAGACCGTATATTCTGCTGCTGATTCAGAGATATTTTCCTCAGTAGAATCGTGTATGCCATCATTGACTGATACGTCTACTGGTGTTTGTCATACTGTGCGCCGTGTGTTGGTTATGGCAGGGATCCGTCGAAGAAGCCGAGAATCTGCGCGCCTTCGATCATTAATCCGAACTCGAACGACCAAGTGAAGAAGTCCTTTCCGTCGATCGGCCTTGACGTCTTCAATTTTAAGACGTGCGCAAACTGCGACTAAACTTGAAGCGCGTCCAGAGTCTTCTCTTTTCCAAGTGAAGGCTATGGGTGTGGTGCGAAACTGATGGAGCCGTATTGTGGCTCATATTGTGGAAAGGTAGGCTGCTGCTGTTGATTTCCGCGCGCGTATATGAACCATCAAGGCTCATTGGAGTCACGTCGTTGTTGTTGTTGTTGTTGTTCGACTGCGCACTTGCCGACTGTTGGTGTTGCTCCTAGAAAGACATGAAGGAGAAGAACTTCTCCATCATGTTCTGATCGAAGCCTGCAGGTTGATTTGCAGGAGTCTTAGTAGACGTTGCCCTTGGTCTTGTTTTTGTACCCTCCTCTGTTTGTAGACCAGAGGCAGGAGGTGGAGTGGGAGCAGTACCGGGAGAACCATTAGAGGAACTCCTTTCTTTCTGAGTAGCCATGCCTTATGATGTTGTAGGTGTCTTGATACCATAGCATGGAATTTGTCCCGATAACTCTCATACCATGTTGGGCTGAGAAAAGCCTTTAGGATTTTTACATGACTAAACTCCTGGTTGTCAGAATCCCAACCACTAGACCACTGGGATAAAAGGGCTTGTTTTAGTAGCGGGTGAGTGCGCCCATAACCCCCCAGGCGAACGCGCCTGTAACCCTCTCCAGGATCAATCGGGCATCCACAGTGCAGATCTACTGACACCCCCCCCCACACTGGGAGGCCCAGGACTAAGCACAGCGGCAACGGCCTACATGTGCATACACCGGGAATCGAACCCGAGACCGCTCTGATACCATGTCAGAATCCCAACCACTAGACCACTGGGATAAAAGGGCTTGTTTTAGTAGCGGGTGAGTGCGCCCATAACCCCCCAGGCGAACGCGTCTGTAACCCTCTCCAGGATCAATCGCGCATCCACAGTGCAGATCTACTGACACTGGTAGGGTTGATGTAGTAGCGGAAGCGTTTAATAAAGAGTTGTGAACCACCTTGCGCTAGTATGTGAGGGCAAAGTAGATTGATTAAAACAAGGAGATACAAGATTACATAAGAGTACTGGGAATATGAAAAGATATAGTTATAACTACTTTACTGTTGCTGTTGCGGTTCGATACAGTGACGACTCGGGCAACTGCTTTGTAACGAGTCAGTTGTGTGTCCTTGCTGTCTCGCTGTATTTGTCAGGTCAAAGGTCGCTGACCTTTGACTTTCGCGTAACCTCCAGCAGTTACTTCAACCTCCGAGGGTTGACTCGCTGGTTCTTCGATATGTTTCGCTTCACTTGTGTCTTCGTGTTTCGACACGACAGAGGCGCTTAAGTTTGTTGTTTCCAACAATTAATTCATAATCAAGAAGTAACTAGACGTGCTATATTAATTAATACATGAAAATTAAAACTTGGTATATAAATACATTAAATTGCTTGTCCTCGTGTTTTGTAAAATATGAATGTGACAACTACGCAACCCATCCGACGTTAACGTCGAATCTTGTTTTTTTTGCGCCCCTCCTGCCATCCCACATGCCTCCTTTCTTTTGGCGCCTAAATTCTGGCCATCCACCCGCACTCCTTCCCGCCACTTCACCCATTTCAACTGTGAAGTTTAGTAGGTAGAGAAAGTTTAGAATGAAGAAGAGAGAGTTCACTAGAAAGCAGCAGGATACATTTAGGAAACCCCAAGGGGTTGTACTCGCTATAGAGTACCCCACTACAGGCTAGAGAACAATGACGTTCTGACATCAACCTGGACTCAACTAGAAAACGGGGTCACAATTTTCCGTGCTCGCTTTAAGTTCAAAAACATTATTCGCTCTAAAAACGTTAACTTTCACAAATTTAGCTCGATGTAGTACTGCTTTTAATTCGATAGTGCGATTCTCGATCACTCGCCCAAATTGCACTGGTAACAGTCGAGTAAAAAGATGGCTGGATGGGACTTGCCGGCGCGGAAACTTCTTTCTCGGTGTGCACATTCCTCGCTAGCCTGACCTGCACAAGAGGTCCGGAATGACAGGTGAACTGCCCGCGTCGGAACTGCTGCTGCCTCAGTGCAGTGAGGGTTTAGGTAGCTTCAAACATGATTTTTTACAGCACGGCGGGCGCTCGTATTCGCATTTGCAACAATCTTGTTCCCTAAATTCTTACCTTCCAAATTCCTGGTAATTTTTTCTCGGAGATATAGTACGAGTCTAATCATGCCCATTTCCACGCCGCCTAAAACTCGTTCCTGTGGCCCTGCCGCGCAGACCTCATCTGCAAATGTCGCAGCTCTCCTTCTCCTTTTCGCGGCCCTCGCGCTCACCACCAGCGCCGCTGCTTGCTCCCTTCTCACCGCCAATCGCCCGCTGCCGCGCCGAGATGCTCAGCGTCTGTCCCAACAGCGCCTGCGCGGCCTGTCTCGCCTCGCTCGACCCACCCGCGCCCGACGCTCGCTTCTAAAGCTCGACGCTGCCACCGGCGCCGCCGCGGCCGGCTCGAAAACGACCAGCTCAAGCGCTGCAAGGCCCGTCGATTTGGAAGGCTCGCAATGTGAGTCGGTTGGGGTGCAGTTGAAGGAGCTTGCAGGAGGAACGGCTGTCGTTCATCGCAGTGTCCACTTCCAACAGAGCTCCAGTTCTCATGGGAAGCCAGAGACTTGCACGCGCAGGCGGCAGGTCCTGGCCCGCCCTTCCAGCTCAACTTTCACGTCACGCTGAGCGCGTTGTGCTGCGACTGAAGGCGCCGCTGTTACGTGATGAATCTGCTCTTTTCCCCCCGAACAGTGGGCGCGCTGCTGCAGCTGCAGGAGGCGTGGGGCGCGTGGGCGGGCAACAGCAACGCCACCACGGCGTGCTCTGCGTGGGCTGGCGTCACCTGCAGCCCCAACGGGGCCGTCGTTGCCGTGTGAGCCTAATTGCCGTCCCTCGCTGCCCCCTTGTTGCCCTAATTGTCGCTCGGTGCTCTGATCGCCCTGCATACCCTAGTGTCGTCGTTGTCCTCATTGCCATTGGCGCTTTGATCACCTGCTGTTGCCCTGCATTGCCCGTCTGTGCTCACGCCGCCCTCATTGTTCATCACTGTTTCACCCTTCCATTGGCTGCGCACGTGCAATCATCGTGTACGAATTCCGCGTGGCTGGATGTTATGCATGTGCGGGGGAGAATGGAAGGAGTCGCAATCTGAACGAGGAGGGGGATGGGTCAAATGTGGAGGTGGGGTGGTAGGAGGGGGTGACTGAACTAGACTGGATACTGGAGAAGGGAAGTGGGGTGGGTTGGGATGTGAGGACGGATGGGAGTTGCGTGCATGCGTGCGTGTATTGGCAGGGATGCAAAGCTATTTTCTGAAGTGGATCCTCCGCCAAGTGGCGCCATACCCGCCTCCATCACTAGTCTCGCCACTCTGCAATACCTGTGCGTCACCACCCACCTCCTCCTCCTCCACTACACCCACGTTGCATGCACCACGACTGTCCTTCGCTTGCCATGCCAACATGTGCTTGCTCCTGTTATTTCACTCGCTCTCATATGCATCTCTCACTCACACTCATGCCCGGCCCCGCCCCACTCACATCATGCTGCCTCCATTCCATGGTTCTGCTGCCTTGTTCACTGTTGTTTCCTCGCCTCTCATCCCCACAGCGATCTGACCTACATTGACCTGGTGGGGTCCATTCCATCCCTCGCCACTCTCACCCGCCTCACCCACCTGTACGTGCCTCTTCTGTTGAAGTCTAGAAGACCTTGAAGGTTTGGGAAGAAAGGAAATAGAATTAGAACGTGCAAGAGCCAAGATTTACAAGCAAGGAGTAGGAATTGAGGAGATGATCTGCACTAGAATCTTTGCTCGAGGCAATTTATGTAATGGGATCATGTATTCCACTCTTCTTGGGTGGCCAGCAGAGCAAAATAGCGAACCCCTGACCGTGTCGACCTACCCCTGTCGAAGGCGAACACGTTCAGTTATTTCGTCTCGTTCGCCCGAAGCGCGGCAAACGCGGACGCGTTCGCCTCGGGTCGCGTCAAAACCAGCGCGTCAGTTTGGCGCGCTGGTTCATATCTAGGCCGAAAAGTCCATAATTTTGCTCTGCTTCGAGCTCAAACTCGATCATACAACATGTCGCCAAGCTCCACACGTGCTTAGCATGCTTTATGCTAGCATGTCGACTGACGTTAGGCTTAGCTCACTAGAAACGCTACACAGGAACTTACGAAAGGACAAATTTTGGGTAGGTTTAGATTGTCGAAAATAGGAACCACAAGGATAGTGGGGTGTTGGGAGGGGTGAGCGAGGGATGTCAGGGCAGGTCATACTTTTTTGTTCGGGCTCGTTGTGAATGGTTACCCCTGGTGCGCAATGGTCGAAAGCGGTGAAAGCCGAAAACCCCGCTCAAACGTAATTGACCGTCTTCAACCACGACAGGCGAGCCCGGTACAAAAAAGTTGACTCGCCCTTACCGAGGGTACGTTCTTGGCCTGTGTCAGGCAGGCTGACATGAAGCTGTGGAAGGGTTTGGATTAGATTGATGATGACGTGGAACGATCGAAGCTGTCAATAGACTTGACACAGGCCAAGAACGTACCCTGAGAAGGTTGTGCGAAATCAAGTTGAGTGAGAAGCAAGCGTTTTGCAAAAATCGACCGTGCGAATCGAATTCGATGGGTGGGGGGGGGGGGGGGGGGGGGGGGGGTACCGGGTCACTCAAATCCAAACTTGTTCGAGTTCGGGTCAAACACCTGTGTTTGGGTCACTATTGGGTCGATATCGACCCACACTAAATAGTGCCTCTCGAACCCTACTTTTGGAAAATTATTTCGAGCCAAACCTAACCCATTCGGTCCGAATAGTAATAAGGTTCGAGTGAGTTCGGATCAAACTAGTTCGACGTGTAAGCAACACACCCTGGAGGGGTAAACCGCCTGAGAACGCCTTCACCCAGCAACCAGAAGGGAACAATCTCACTACATACTTGGGAATCTTCTGTTCCTTATTTTGACCTCAATTATCAGTTGCTAGGCCTGACTTGTTTCCCTGCCCTCTTCCATGTCACAACGTGATTGTGATTGTGCTCCTTGCTCCTTGTACTCAGAGCTATTGGAGTGACGGGCAGCAGGCTGACTGGCACATTGGACGGACTGGCCTGGCTCTCCTCCCTCACCAACCTGCGATCACTGTACGCTCTACCAGCACGGCGCCCTGTAAATACTGTATGCCCTGCATATCACGCTGCTCCAGTAACTCATGCAGAAGGCCCATGCTCCTCTCCTGCACCCTTATGGCTTCTTGCATGCCTCGCTGCCCTCCCACCACCAGGAGTCTGGAGTACTTGGAGGCATTCACAGGGGACTTGTCCTCTCTGCACATCGTTTCTCACATGAGGAGCCTTCAACAGCTGTAAGTAGACACGAGCAGCAATCAACTTAAACTGGTTCAATTCAAACCAATTCGACAGTCATGGTGTAGAACTACTAGGTGTGTTGGACCTGGCACGTTATGACGACCTGGCGAGGAGCGAACCTCGCTGGAGGTTCAAGTCAACACCAGTTCAATGCGCTTGGCAATAGAAGTCAAGCTGAACCAGACGGTTCGACTCGAACTGCAGTTGGTTCGAGTCGGCCCATTTTTCCTTGCAAAAAAATGCTGAACCGGTTGGATCGGAATGAACTCGTGTTCGGGATATGCCCAGGTCTAGCTGTAAGCAAGAACCACTTAGGTTGACACCATAGCGGGGTCGCATGGTTTTTCTGTCCTGATTCTCATAATATTATAGTGTGCGTGTGATATGGTGGTCTATATACCGACTTGCAACTAGCACTGGATTTACTGTTGCTGATTGCGTGTGCATGAACGCAGGAGACTCGCTTCACTCACCAACGCCACCGGGGAGATACCCAGGGAGATCCGATACTTGACTGCCCTCACTTCACTGTAAGGTGGACAAAATATCCAGGATGGGGCAGATGAAGCAAGTTTGTTCATGCGCACGATTACAACATCTGTAATCTCCTGGCCAGCATAAGAGAAGCTTTCCGCCATACGCTTGTCTATGCGGCTTCCTTATGCGTTCGTCCCTGCAGGGACTTATCCTTCCTTCGTGCGCTGGAGTTTCCGGATTGGGTCACTCACCTCTCCAACCTTGAGTACCTGTAAGCGTCACTTCTTTTTCCTGTTCCACTCTCATACTGTCCCAGTACCACTCGCCGCTCACATTCCCCCAGGAGGCACGAGAACTGCACCACACGTGCCATTGCTGTTGCAAGCTCAGTGAGATATTCTCGACGGCCTTACTTCCTTTGTTTTGCAGGAATGTGGAGACGGATGATCCGCGGCGGCAGGGGGTGGTGGTGGAGGACATCTCTGAGCTCACAGCACTCACCAGCCTGTGAGCTTAGCGCGCGCGCGGGTGGTGCGAGCATGCATGTTCACAGTTAGCTCTTGGCTAGGTGAGCGTACTTGATTGTAGTTCGCGTTTTCCAAATGTATTCTTATTGAAAAAGATGACATCTACGAGTTTGCCTCCTTAAAAGTGATATAGATGAACACACCCCCTCCCTGCACCATCTCAACTTGTCTATTCTATTCGTGCTGCATTTCCATCTCCATATACGCCAGAAAGACACTTGCGAGTTTCTCATGACCCGCCCGCACCACCAGTGAACAGCTCACGCGTCCATCCATTGCCTGCCGCCATGCTCTGCAGGTCCTTCAGCGGAAACAACCTGGAGGGCTACCTACCCAAGAGCTGGTCCACTCTGGTCAACCTGCAGGAGCTGTGAGTCATCCTGCCAATCTCCGTACCTTTCTGCCATCCTGCCATGCAACCAACGTTTTAACTGTGGTGTCATGCTGTCCCACTACCGTGTTGCTGGCAGCAGCATCAACCCCATGTGCGTTGCTCCATGCCAACTATTTTCTAATTTGGCAAGCTTGTTTTCTGTTCTTATCCCAGATATTTAAGTTCCAACCACCTCCGAGGAGCCATTCCGGCAACATTCTCGGCCCTAACGGCCCTCGTTTCAGTGTAAAATTCAAGTGTCCTGCCTACTTTCCATTGTCTGATCACCATTCTGTCCCTGCCTATTTTCCCGTGTCTTCCTCACTCAGTGTACCAACGTTCATTCGTTGTATCCCCCTCCATTGCAGAGACCTTTCGTGGAATTCTCTTTCTGGTTCTATACCCCCAGTTTTCAGCACCACCATCCAAACGTTGTATGTCATTCTTCGCACCGCTCCTGGTCCACTTTTCCAAGCCAGGCCACAATACCAGCTTTTTCTTTCTCAACATTTTCATAAGTCAGCCCATGGCATGTGCTTCTCTTCCCGTCGTGCATTCCCTGTTCAACCATGTTATAAGTTGGCTCGGTTGAACCTTCGTGTCTTTTGTCTCTATAATGACTTGTTCCGCATCAGGAGCTGTATATGCTACAAAAATGCTTCCGCGGGCAGCTAATGAAAACTTTGGGCACACAGATAATACCGGGGAAGGGGGAATGGGAGCGGGGGATATTGGGGGGGAAGGATAGAGGGGGATTGCCAAGATACAAAAATGCTTTATCCCCAATAGACATGAGCATCGGGCGAACACCAAACATGTTCGCCCGAACACTAACGAACATCTCAAATGGGCAAATTGAACATGTTTGGTTCGCCCGAACATTTTGGTGTTCGCCCTTGGTGGGCGAACATGTGAATTGTTCGCCGAACCTTTATATGTTCGGGCGAAACCGAACATTATTGGGTTCGAAATTGACTTTCCCCCCATTATTGTCACATTCAGGGCAGGAACGTGTTGCCCCTAAACCACCCTGGACATGGTACGATTTCAGATCTGACCCTAGTCCGGGTGCCCTAAAACGTGTCACCCACTTGCTACGGTTTAGAATCTCTAAAAACGGGCTCCTAAACCTAGATTTCCAAAAGAAACTGCTAAGTTGGGTAGATCTATGCTGGTTATGTAGCTTCTGGTCCATCCTAGCCTAGAATAATCCTTAACTTTTGGATCGAGGCCGAAATGACCTCGATCCCACTTTTCCGTTGCATATACATCCAACCTGCGCAAATGTTCGCGGAACACTAGAAATTTCCCGAAGATGTTTGGTGTTCGAAAAAATTCCCATTAATCTTCCCGAACACCGCCCGGTACGAACCCCGAACATGTTCGGGCGAACTTGTTTTTCCAAACATACGTTTGGTAATTTGCTCATGTCTGGTCCCAAGAATAAGCCGAATATTTGACATGTTGCTAATCTTTTAAGCTACGTCTCCAGGCTGAGAGCGAGATCTCTATGTTTAGGAGCTGGAGCCACATCAGGAATCCTTAGTGGCGGAATTCAGACTTCTGAGGGAGGTTATATTTTGGCGATAAGGTTGGTTTTACCTACTACTGGGGGAGGAGGTGGGTGAGTGAAGGGGGTAGGGGTAGATATGAGCAAGTACCGAACATGTGATGGCCAGGCTTACGGGTGCCTCACTCTTTCCTGCTCAATGCCTTGAAGCTCCCTCACAACAAACTACTCCGATTCCACTTGAGCAGCAGTAATAGTGGAGTCTAATTTCTGCCTAAAATCAACCATTCCTATGTTACACTCGCGTCGTTGCTTGTTCAATACCTCTTCACCAATATCATCCAGAGGATTTCCATCTCACCGCTTCCTGCCTTGCCCTCGCATGCCACAACGCTCAACCCACGTTGAACTCCATGTCCCTCAAACTAGCATAGCTTCTCCTCCCTTTCCTTAATCTCTCTTCAGTTTGCTCTTCAGTCTCCCCCTATACCCTCATCTCTCCCATCGTGTCCTCCATCCATTTTCTGTTGTCCTGATCTCACCGTTAATCCCTCTTCGTCCCTCCTTGGTCCCTCATTCTCTCCTTGCTTCGCCATTTCAAACCCCTAGTCCTCCTTTGACTATCATAACACATTCCTTTGCAAGCGACCTTCCAATGCAGCGAACATTGAAATTCACTGGTCTCTGCCTCTCCTGTCCTACCTGCCTATCCAGATACCTCGACCACAATACCTTCTCTGGGCCCATTCCACCACACTTGGCACTGCCCAACCTCGCTGAGCTGTGAGCCACTCCATGCTTGCGCACTCTGTACCTCCACTCTCATCTTTGGACCTCCATTCCTATTCACCCCTCGAGCTCCCCTCCTACCTGCACTCTCTGCCTAGCCCCATCTCTCAATTTATGCCCCCAACTCTTTCATTCCGCTGCTCTGTGCAATGTTTCCTTTTGGGATGTCCTGGCTGCAGTCAACTAGCCAACAATCTGTTCACAGGAGGCATCCCCAACGCCTTCACTAGGCTCACTGGCATGAGAACTCTGTATGTCTCTCCTTTCCCATGCTACGTACATCTCCCTGTCTCAACTGCGGCACATGAGATTCGCCTGTCCAAGGTATACATGAGCATTTTATGAGTCGAGTAAAACTCGTATCGTTTTTCATCGACTCGATGGAGTTTCGAGTCGAGTCCAGTTCTACTCGGACACGTTTATTGTGCTCCTCCCCCCACCCACACCCACCCACCCCACCCCAACCCATCCCTCTTTCTCCCCCCAAGAGCCGGTCCGGCCACCTGCTTCACTTCACCTAGTGCCAGATCCGCTAGGTGACGTGTCAGATCCGTGCGCATCTGACGGTGAAATGTCGTATGTACTCGTCGACTCGTCGTCAAGACGAAGTGTAGTCGACTGAGAGAAAAGAAGAATAAGGAAAAAACTGAACCTGAAACCCGTCGTCAAGAACGATATTTTGAAACAAGGGACGCCCACTCGTAAAAATCCCACTCGTTGCGTAACAAGGGTTTGCGTCGATATTTTGAAAGAAGGGTTTGCGTCGATATTTTGGACGCGTAAAAACCCCACTCGTTGCCCGTGCCAAAGGGATGCTTATTGCAAGCACACCAGTGGTTGCATGGCCGCACACGTTTACGAGTTGTATTCTGCACCTTCTTTGACCTAGGATGCTCCGTCTCCAGCCTTGTGCTCGTTGCCTCTGACATGTATGTCTGCTCCAAATGACAGAGACATTGGTTTCAACAGTCTCACCTCAGGCCTTCACGTGGTGGCTCAGATGACATGGCTTGCAAACATGTGAGTGTTCTCCCCTCTTCGCCTCGTAAATATGTGAGTGTTCTCCCCTCTTCGCCTCGTAAATATGTGAGTGTTCTCCCCTCTTCGCCTCGTAAATATGTGAGTGTTCTCCCCTCTTTGCCTCGTAAATATGTGAGTGTTCTCCCTTCTTCGCCTCGTAAATATGTGATTGTTCTCCCCTCTTCTCCTCGCAACATACGAGACACTTTCTTGAACCCTAATTGTGCAGACTCCTCGATAGCAACAACTTATCTGGTGTGCTTCCAGCGTCCTTCACAGCCATCAAGGGCCTCGCATTTCTGTGAGTATGCTCCATCTATCCTCTCTCACCTTATCAGTGTAACAGCCCCTTCGCACCTACCTGGGTGGTAAGGTTGCAACAACAGCTAGGGCTCTTCTAAGTACCCCTGTTATAAGTGTGTCTGAATGATATTCGCGCCCTCAATTTACATCTCTATTTTTTCAATTGCTTGTGTCATTGTTTATGTGTGTGTTTTGTATATGAATGTTGTGTATATATATATGTATGTATATGTATATATATATATATATACATGTGTGTGTGTGTGTGTGTGTGTATCCACATGTTGGTTTTGCCCTTATGGGCACTGCCGGCATTCGACGAGTCATTGACAGATTGTATGTTGATAGTGCCGGTCGCTGCACTAGAAGGTGGTTCCTCTATAGAAATTATTAGACTCCTTCAACGGGAATATACCGAGTGCCAGTGCCAGAGGCTCGTGCTCCCAGTCAGGGCAGCGCACGTGCATACCTTTGTTAACCCGTTGGTGCATGCAGATGCCAGAGCCCACTGTTTTGTGCCCACGTGTTTTCGAACGTCTGCAGTGGCATGTCCAAGTGCCTGAATGGATGTGTGTTTTCCATCACCCCTTCTGCATCAATGCGTTTCATCATCTCCCCACCACGTGTATCTTGCGCCTGGTTCAGGCTTATAAATAACAACTACTTCACTGGAACCTTCCCCGATTGTATTCTGCTCCACACGAGCCTTCAACAACTGTAAGCAGGCATGAGGAAAAGGCGAAGTTGAACCACATTATTCAACACCTTATTTTATCAAACCAAACATGTTCGTTCGACTTGAATGTTTTTTGGAAAAGTGGTGTTCAGCTATTCAAAGGAGCTGGCCGAACAGTGATATGTTCACAATTATGCCTCCGAACATGTGCGAATCAACCCGAACAGGGCTCAAAATTTTGCTAAACCCCACCTGTAAAGCAGTTTACTCGTCCTCTCGACTTATGGCGCTCATTCTTCCGTCCAAAACTCCTGGGAAAACCATTTTCTAGAGTTATTTGGCGCTCGCAATGGTAATGGCAATGGCAGGGATCTGAGCAACAACAGTTTCACCGGTTCTATCCCTCACAAATTGACCAACCTTGTCAACCTGCAAAACATGTGAGCAGCACCAGTGCCTGGTCCAGCATCAGGTTGTTGCTTCAGCATGAGTGTTGTAGGTGCCGTGCACCAGCTTGCAAAATAAAGGATTGTCCTTGGAAATGTAATGGGACTTGAAGAAACGGGACATGAAGAGAGAACAAAGATTGCCAAGCAGGGCAGTGGAGATTTGAGGAACCTTTAGCAAGTCTGCTCATGCTGTACCCTTTTGCATGGAGATTTGAGGTCACTCACTTCTGATGCTCTTGAAACGGTTGTCCAGTAACCTCAATGACAACAGTTTTCGTGGAACTATCCCATCAAGCCTGTTCCAGCTATCCATGCTGTCCTCACTGTAAGTCGCTCCACGGCTCCATCACCCCTGCTTTTGAATTATTTTCTTCAACCTCTTTCCTTGCTGATTTTGCATGAAATTTGTACAAGTATCCGTGAAAAGGGAATGTCAAATGGCACTTTGCGAGAACTCCAGTGCCAGATACTAAATCAGGAATCCGCATGCCTGCTTGGATCTTGCCTCTTTTTTAAACCTTCATCTTTTCATCCCCTTTCCATAATTACTGTTGTTAGAGGCCCACGATGCATGCATGTGATTCGGCAAGTCTTCTTGGATTCCTAGCATCTGCATTCAGCCAACCCCTGTTTACCCTCCTCCCCAACACAGGCAAGTAGCCAACAACTTCCTTTCTGGGGGCCTCCCGCGGACTCTCACTGCCCAGTCTTCTCTTCTCACGCTGTAAGTAGTGCCACCACTGTCTGTAACTGGTGTCACCCTGTTCCCTTCGTGCTTCTCTTTTGTGCCCCTGAAAACTTTCATTTGCTCCCATTGCACTGTGCAGCAACCTAGCAGGAAATGGCTTCACGGGCTCCTTGCCAAACTTCTCTCGCTGGAAAGTTAGCTGTGCACAGATGTAAGCCTCCCCACACTCCCTTCCTCCCGTTCCCCCTTGACACCCCCGCTGTTCCACCTTCAATATCGCTTGCTCAATCACGTTGCATGTATGTATTGTAGTGCATCGCACCCATGGTTAGCAGTTGAAGTCAACCCACGCATCTCAGCTTCTCTCGTTGCCGTCTCACCTTTGTTGGTTGTGGGTCAGAGTTCTCAGCAACAGCAACTTCACGGGGTCTATTCCTGTCTCCATCTCCACCCTCACCACCCTCGATTCCATGTGAGCCTTCTTGGATTACAGCGTGCCCTTCAGCACAAAACCATCAAACCATTCCCATCTGAGCACAGTGGGTTGTCCTGTCCAATTCTATCTGTGAGCCACAGATAGAACCCAACTGCATATGTGGGCACCAGCGGGTTGCCTGTGTCCTCCCAGCTGCATATGTGTAACTTTCACTTCAACCAATGTACCCATTTCCTTGCCATACCCATACAGTTTTCTCAACAACAACCAGCTGACAGGCACCATTCCCTCTGCCATTTTCACCATGACCAATCTCAAATATCTGTAAGCCTCAGGGGTTTAGAGCTCCCCTTACCAAGCGACCATCAAGCATTCCCACCTCTGTGCAATGGTTCTTTCCTGTACTTTCCTGTATCAGCCCTCACTGCTCTTGCATACGCCATGCCGCCTCTCATTGAAACATTTCCCTGCCATTGCCCTTCAGCTACATTGCCAACAATTATCTAAGTGGCAGTCTGCCAGGTGTCATCGGTCGACTGAAGAAGCTCGAACAGATGTGAGGGTGCTATCCATTGCATCTCTCGGGAATGCTGGCTTGAAGCTTTACCCACAACGCAATCAAGGCAAGCTTACTGTAAACTGTGACTTCAAAACAGGTTTAACAAACATCTCACCGTGAAGTCTGAGCTGAACATTGAAAACTCGCGATCGTGGCATCCCCTTTCCACCTTGAAGCCTATTGAAAGTAGAATCTGATTTTGTGGCACCTTGCTCGTCTTCCTGCCTCGTACCACTGCTGTGCTTGCCCTCTCAGCTGGCTGGACAACAACAAGATTGAGGGCCCTCTGCCATCTGGCCTGTGCTCGCTGCCCTGGCTGTGGCGCATGTGAGTGGCTGTGGCATATGCAAGTATCTGTCATATATGAGTCAGAAATTGGACCGAGAATGTTTAGACACTTTCCAGGCACCAATGCAGGAAACAAAAGTAGACTGTTGCTAATGCAAGCATGTTACACTCTGCATTCGTGATTCTGAATTGGTAAGAAATATGACAACCAGTATAACTTCCGTACCTATGCCCTTCTATATCAATCTAAGGAATGGTGTGGCATGGTGTGCGTTGTGCTGCTGGCAGCATGGTGAGCAACAACCACCTTTACGGACCCCTTCCGGACTGCCTTTTTGACAAGTGTATCAACCAAATGTGAGCCAACAGCGCATAATTGATTTCCAGTCATGCATGCAGCATCTCTCAGCCTCAATACGGTCAGCGCAATGAGTAACAAGAGCCACAGGTTCACTGCCGTAGTATATGTGGTGGGACTACCTCCAGACACTCAAAGCCCACCTTCTGCCCTTCGCCTGCCCACCCTGCTCCTCGCAGCGATGTGAGCGGCAACAGCCTGTACGGGCGCATCAACCGCAACTTCAAGAGCATGGTGGCGGATGGCGATGCACTCATCAACTTGGCTCACAACTTCTTCTTTGGTGATGCCCTGCTCCTCGCTGCCGGCTGCCAGGTCTGCCCCACTCAGATCACCCAACCCAACAATTTTGTCCTGGGGGACACCTTTGATGTGCTTGCCGGGAAGTGCAACACTGCTGCAGCAATTGGTCTGCGAGATATCTCAGTGGCGGGGGCGGGCAAGGAGGCGAGGGTGAGTGTGGCGGGCAACTGCCTCACGCTCAGTGCGGACGCGGAGTGCGCAGCGAACGCCACCCAGCGCAGCACGGCAGCCTGCCAGGCGTTCTGCAGCATCACGGACAACGGCCCGTGTGACGGCCATGGGGAGTGTGTGCCGCCTGCCCCCGCCTCCCCCTCCAACTTCATCTGCCTCTGCCACGCCGGCTACTCTGCCCTTGACTTGGGCAACGGCTCCACCTGCGCTGTGGTCAACTCTACCACCACCACTGGTGAGCCTATCTGCACTGGCGCACTAACAAGGTGGTGGTTGCACTCTGTTTTAGTGCAGGCATACGTCACCCACTCCATCTACTTCGTGTTGCATATCCCACCCATCTTGGTTGCTGTTTCCTTTCCAGCTGTCTTGTCCTCTCTCACCTGACCGCTTTCAACTCTTTACCCAACCCTAGCTTCTCAAACGACAGCTTGCTGTTTCACTGCAACCAATGCTTTTGTGATTTCCTCCTCCCTTCTTCCTCGGCAGTGTCCTCGCTATCAACGGGCGCCATAGTGGGCATTGCGGTGGGCTGCTTTGCTGGCTTCGTTCTGCTGGCTGCTGTGCTCTCATGCCTGCTGTGGCCCCGCAGACCAAGTGAGACCCCCACAACCCCGCACTCACGCCGTGCCACTCTTGCACTCCTGCCGTGCTCCACCTCGTTCCTCCATTCTTCCACTCCTATCTCTCCCACCGCCTCCTCACTCGCCCCATTGTGTGTCGTGTGTTGTGTTGCATTGCGTTGCGTTGTGTTGTCGTGTGTTGTGTTGCGTTGCGTTGCGTGTGTGTTGTGTTGTGTTGTGTTGAGTTGAGTTGTGTTGAGTTGAGTTGTGTTGAGTTGAGTTGAGTTGAGTTGTGCTGTGCTGTGCTGTGCTGCGCTGCGCTGCGCTGCGTTGTGTTGCGTTGCGTTGCGTTGCGTTGAGTTGTGCTGTGCTGTGCTGTGCTGCGCTGCGCTGCGCTGCGTTGCGTTGCGTCGCGTTGCGTTGCGTTGCGCTGCGCTGCGCTGTGTTGTGTTGTGTTGTGTTGTATTGTCTTGTGTTGTGTTGTGGTATGTTGTGTTGTGTTGTGTTGTGTTGTGTTGTGTTGTGTTGTGCTGTGGTGTGTTTTGTTTTGTGCTGTGTTGTGTTGTGGTGTGTTGTGTTCTGTGCTGTGTTGTGTTCTGTTCTGTTCTGTTCTGTTGTGTAGAGAAGTGGGAGGGGCTGGAAGTGTGTGAGCAGTATACGCTGCAGCAGATGGCGAAGGCCACAAACAACTGGGCAGAGGAGAACGAGCTGGGAAGGGGCGGCTTTGGCGTGGTGTACAAGGGGTACTCGCCACAGGGGCAGCTGTGGGCCATCAAGCGCTCCACTATCATGACCAACGACTTTGAGATTGAGGTGAGGAGGCTGGGAGAATTGCAAGTTCAACAGACATATTCAGGAAATAACCTCTCTCCTGTTTCAACCTCTAAATGCATCACCTGCAGGTGCGAGCCATGGCAACGCTCCACCACATAAATCTGGTGCGGCTGCTGGGCTTCTGTGTGGATGTAAATGTGGAGACAGGCATGCAGGAGCAGATCTTGGTGTACGAGTATGTGGGTAACAAAGACTTGCAGCACCACATCTTCAAGGCCAGAGGTGAGTTATACCATATGTGCCAACGCATCGAATTACATGTTTTCCCAACGTTAGCCCGAAGGGCTGTATGAAAATAGAGACACTTCTTATGTATCTCATTTTCTGAAGCAGCGCAAAAACAGTACAATTAACCTCAGAACAATTTTGCACTTCCTTCTTCTTTCTGCCAGATCCTCTCTCGCTGAGGCAGCGGCTGCGCCTGGCACAAGGAGCAGCAGAGGGCCTGGCGTATCTGCATGGGTTTGCGACGCCCATCATCCATCGCGACATCAAGCCCGCCAACATCCTTGTGACGGCCGACATGCACGCCAAGGTGGCTGACTTTGGGCTGCTCAAGCTCATCACTCACGGGGATGGCAAGGAGACTAGAGTGGCCGGCACTCCTGGCTATGTGGACCCTGATTACAACCGCACAAACGTGCTCACCACCAAGTGTGATGTCTTCAGGTTGGACTGCTTTTGGCGAGAATGCCTGTTTAAAGTCCTGCTTCTGGTTTTCTTACAATTCCCTCCTCTGCATCTTTTGACCTGTCTCGAAGATTGTGTATGCTCTCCTGCTTCCCGCGTGCTGGCAGCTTTGGCATTGTGCTTCTGGAGCTGCTAACTGGCTCCAAACCGATTCGCTATGAGTCGCACATCAGAAATTGGGTACGTGCATTGCAAATGAGGAATTTTAGGGCCATTTCTTGTCTGCTATGGAGCAAAACATCTAATCTGCAACGCGCCATTGTGATGCATCCATTCGCCCCCAGGCAATGAAGAAGATGGAGGAGTATGCACTGGATGAGCTCAAAGACAGCAAGCTGGAAGCAAGCGAGGAGGCCATAGTGGCATTTGCCGACCTCGCTCTAGACTGCGTCAAGATGCCAGGCACACGGCGGCCCGACATGAAGGCTGTGGCTCACTCCCTCAGCGCCCTCATTGACAAGTTCTGCCCGGACAAGGAGCCATGCGAGTTCGTGGAAAACCTGTCATTTACAGGGAGCGAAGTCAGCCAGTCTGGGGCTCTCTCCAAAAGGTCTATAGCGTCTGGTAGCCTCAATCGGAATGGCAGATCCCTTAGTGGCCTTGGTTCCACGTTCCGTGGTCTGGGCAGCTGGGCGCAGTTTCGATTGTCAGGAAGATACTAAGTCCATGTAGTAGCTCCACACCGTGGTTTCCAGCATGGGCAATTGGGTTCATGACGATGATCTGGCTTCACTAAGGGTTGGCTCATGCAATCACACCAATTGGTACTGTACCGTTTGGCCCCGGATATAAGCGCATATGTGCTTATAATAAGTAATGATTTTTAGGGGTGGCGCTTGTAATTGAGGAACGGCCAAAAGTGCCGGCGCTTATAAAATGTCAAACTCCAATTTTGGTTTTCGAAGTATTAAATTGAAGCCCACAATAAGGCGAACACAACTGTGAACGTTGCGCATGGGATCGTGCAAGAAATTCCGGCGAAAACAGCCGCGACTCGATTTCCCACCGCACAGAACCTGTCCTGGAGCAACGCACCTGCCAGCGATGACGTGCATCCTGGCGTGCGGCCCAATAGGGTTTACATGCGCTGCCAGGGTGCCACATTTCACCCGAACTTTCGAGAAGGGGGTGGCATATTCCTGCCAGCGCAGCAGATACGTGCCGCGATTCCATCCTCTGCGGGTTTAGGCAGGGGGGGATCTGACTATGCCTGAAGAGGAACTCGAGCCGCACACCAGAAGGGGTCCCCTCCAAACCCTCATTTCTTCGCCTTCTCTTTCACTTTTGTCATTCAGATTCTTAGTCTCGCCCGCCATGCTGCGGAAGCCATGGCGGAATTCGTTGGCACTCATTTCTTGTTCAAAAAGAAGCCCGCGCGTAGGCCCGCCTTCGTAGTCGACGCCGACGGATGGTACTCCCGTGTCCCACCTGAACCACCAGAGCCACCACAGCCTCCATCGCCTCCTGCGCCGCCTGCTCCTCCTGCTCCTCCTTTGCCGCCTGCGCCTCCTGCTCCTCCTGTTCCTCCGTCTCCTCCGATTCTGGGATGTCCTCACAACACAGGGGATCCGCCCGTGCTCACGCTGCTCCCGACTGCGTTCGACGAGTGGCTGGAGGAACCGGAAAGCAACAAGGCCCAAGATGTTGAGGTACCCGGCGCACCTTACCCTGGACCACGTTGGGGCCGGCCCGATGATTGCACCACGTGGGACGAATCTGCACTCGGAGCTGACGACGACGTGGCTGAGGACGAGGAAGCGAGCCGTGCTGACGGCGACGAGGAAGCGAGCCGTGATGACGGCGACGAGGCTGAGGAAGGTGGCGCGCAGGGTGGTACCGCTGAGGATGTGTTTCCTGAGGGCGTACCTGGTGGCGACGACAACGACGGTGTCGAGTACTGGTCACGTGACGGGCTCCCCGAGGAACTGCCGATACCTTCCTTTCCACCAGCTAACCGCAAGCGACCCCACCCGTCTACCCAGAACCGTGATGCCCGCCCCCCCTCTCCCAGGCACAAGATCAGCGATCACAAGTGCAAAGGCTACACCGCTGCGGAGAAGTTGAAGTACGTCGCGATGCTGGATGTGGCGAAGTCGGTGCGCGCACTAGCTCGGGAGTCTGGGATTCACCGGAAGTGTCTCGCCAACTGGAAGGTGGCAGCGGGGTTTCTCAAAGAAGCACACTCCGGGCGGAAGCGCATGCACGGTCGCGGGCGGGCCTCGTGGTACCGCCCCATGGAGTTGAAGGTGTACGAGCGGCTCCTGGACTGGCGCCGCAAAGGAACCGCCGTGTCGGTCGGCCGTCTGCGGGAGTGGTCGAGGGAGTTCATGAAGATTCTCTACCCGGACGTCAAGTGGAGCGGGAGTCAGAGATGGTCGGAGCGGTTTCGGAAGCGGTGGAATCTGAGCGTCCGCATGAAGACGCGGGTTGCTCAGAAAACAGCCGCTCGTAAGATTACGCCCCTTGCTTTCATGTCTAAGTTTCAAATTCACTTACTAAACTGCCGTCTATCCCGCCCGCTTTCCCCCGTCTCACAGATCTTGCGGAGCAGTGCCAGAAATTCTGGCGTTTTGTCCGACACATGCGTCGCGCGCGCGGCATCGAGCCATGCTGGATTCTCAACGCTGACCAGACGCCGCTCTGGCTGGAGATGCCCGCCACCACGACCGTGGATCAGACGGGCGTACGGTCGGTGCCCATCCGGAGTGCAGGTTACCAGAAGGAGCGTGTGACCGTGATGCTGGCGTGCACGGCGGACGGGGCGAAGCTCAAGCCGTGGGTCTTTTTAAAGCGGAAGACGCTGCCGAAGGGCAACTTTCCTCCTGGTAATAAGTAGCAACTGCCGCTGTCTTACCGACACGTTTCTCATGCCGCGCTAACAGTTTAAGTGCCATTTCTGTGTGCAGATGTGGTCGTGGCTTGCCACGAGAACGGGTGGATGAACGCAGAAGGCGTCATCCGCTGGCTTGACGAGTGTGTCAAGCCCTTCTTGCAGCCCCGATTTGGCAGGTGTGCGAAGAGCTCTATGCTCGTGCTGGATTCCTACCGCGGCCACCTTACCGAGGGGGTGAAGGAGAAGCTCCGCGAGATCAACTGCGTGCCTGCTGTCATCCCGTCGGGTTGTACGGGTGAGGTTCAGCCACTCGACGTCTCCATCAACAAGAGCTTCAAAGCATCTGTTCGTCAGCAGTACCAGAAGTGGTTTCAGGAGGAGGGCCAAGAGCAACTGACACTTGCAGGTACGTTGTTTCCGTTAAACACGCACGTTTATCCCCCTTTCACCCTTGGTCACTAACATCGCTTTCCCGGGTGTCTCTGTTGCGGTGCAGGGAATCTGAAGAAGCCCCCCCCAGAAGTGGTCCTTCCATGGATTTCACAAGCCTGGAAAGCAGTACCCTCCGACCTCGTCAAGCGCGCCTTCCTCACCTGCGGCATTAGCAACGCACTTGACGGCAGTGAGGACCACCTCGCCATGGCGCACAGGCGGAGCCAACTGACAGCGGAAGTGGATGTAGACGACGGCATCATCGCCGACGGATTTTTCGGCAACAACTGCCAGGAGCCCGAGTCTGACGAGGAGTAGGTAGTTCCGGTAGAATAGCAGATTAAGTCTAAAATTGTGTACCTAGGTAGAATACCGTAGCAGATTAAGTCTAAAATTGTGTATAACTTGTAGTATTCGTTGAAGCGAACGATGTTATAGTTTGTTTTCTTTTATTGTGGTGGTAAAAAAAGTGTTAATATTGAAGGTGGCGCTTATAATAAGGAAGGGTACAAAAGGGGTGGCGCTTATAATCGAGGATCGGCCATAAGCGCCATGCTCCAGATAGAAGCGCCGGCGCCTGTAATAGGCCGGCGCCTATATCCGGGGCCATACGGTATGTTCATCTGATCTTCAGACAAACATTCTTTTTTGTCTGGAAGCTCAGACTTGAACCTTTTATTTGTCTGGATTTTCATGCTTGCATTTATTCTTCTGCTTTCTTAAACAACCAGTAACTTGTCAGGCGCTGACTGCGGCGAAACTGGACAAACTCTATGTAACTGCCGATAACAAAGGGAAAGGCAAGGTTCTAACCAGCATGATACGTCAGAATCCACTTCCGTTCCTCCTAAGGGGCATTTGTTACTACCGCAGCTCACGAGGAAACTTCTCAAATCTTGAAGGAAGAGCCAGGCCTGGTCGAGGCAGAGGAAGACAACCATCCTACCTCTGATAAGCTCGCTGTCGAAATTCGAATGGGACATGCAACTTGCATCCCTGGGTCACCTCCTGCATGCATCTCGGATCCAGAAGATGTAGACTGGAAGTGCACCGTTGATATGAAGCATCACATCACACCCCGTATCGCAAACATCGCAAGGCAACAGCGTAGCGACATCAATACGTGGTACTTGGATAGCTATTGTGGCTAGCACATGGTCGGCTCCAAGAAGTTCATTCTGAACAACACGAAACTCGACTTCTATACACCCTCATTCTCGCCACATGCATAATCACCACACGAACATGCCACCTGTAATGACATAAATGCGTCCAAAATGGTCCAAAAACAACCCTGTAAGCACATTTGCCGTACTCAACCGTACACAAAAACACATTTTCTTCTATACACCGTTGTATACCGTTCCTTATGGAGTGCATTTGCCCACCACCTACCTAGGGTTCGGCTCCAAGCACCAGATCGCTAGGGTCCAAGCAACAGTACGCACTGTAGCCAGGGCTCCTAATTGTGCGTAGGCCGAGAATGAGGGCGTATTGAAATCACCGTTACGAACGATGGCACACTATATGCGAAGCACAATGGCGAGATCCAGCACGAGTAAATGACAAAAACTTCTCAATCGACATTAGCGATGTACGTGTCGTTGAGAATCTTTGCTTCAATCTTCTCTCTGTCGCTCAGCTCGTGAGGAGCAGTGTCAAAATGCATCATCATCAGAAAGGCGACAAACGACAACAGTCACAAGGGGAGCAGCGATAGGTGAAACTCCGGAAAAAGCAAAAGACCTGATTACTCGCTTCGAGGAAGAGGCACCCGGTACTAAAGAAGCGACACCACCTTATCAAGGTCCGGGACGAATTCAAGTAACTTACGACGCAAAGTTTGTCGGGTTCGTTGCCGATTCAGTGGAAGGAAACGTCGCCGACCTCTGTGGTCCCATCTTGCGAGCCTTCGTCACCGACATTCCTGGTGAAGCAGACAGAACACCTGCAGTGAACGAACAACGGCAGTTACCTCGAAAAACACATCTTTACGCCACAATTGAGGGGACATCAAGCAACGGCAGAAATATGGCACCAAACGACTCGGTCATCCTTCACAAAAACCTCTAAATAACTCAATCAATGCGGGACTTTTGGCGGATGGCACCTTGTTCCTGCCCATCGGTGAGCAGCTCTAGCCTCGGGCACAACCATTTCCTAGCTGACCAATTTTGGTCCTAGCCGTTGGACCAATTTTGGTCAAGTTGGAAGGTTGAAATTTGCCAAGTTCAATGTTGAAACTGGCCAAAATGAAGGTCTAAAATTGGTAGAAAAATGGTCCAAGCTAGGTGTTTTTCATAAACTAAATGTATCCCAAATGTGACTCACTTCTATACCATTTTGGTCAATAGTTAGCCCAATAGTGCAGCTCTTTGGACAGGATTTAGCCAACAT